CGGAACGAAATCGTTGTCTAACCTCTTTAGTCGCCGGGGTCAATTATTTTAAGACATGGGTACCGAAATATTACAGAGTTGCAAGTAAACATTGCTACATGGAATATATATTATTTACTTACCTATTCAATGAAGATCACTGATGACGAAAATATGAAATCAAACTGTAATATGAAACGAAAACTGCAGAAAGCATAGGGCATAGAAACGCAACAAATCCTGACATCACTTTTTACTGGCGAGAATGGGAACACTTCTCCAGTCAGTAAGATGACGTCACCCTAGTAATATTATTTTACTGACTGGCAAAGGGACTATGGGAAGACAGCCGTATACTTCCACCATGATAGAGACCTAGAAAACAGAGATGCGTCATTGAAGGGTATGGCTTGATTGGCTGTCTAAATCACGTGATCAGAGAGCCGTTTTAATTCACTATTGCATCTAATAGATATAGTTTTATAACGTATGTACACACATATATATATATACATATAGAGAAAAATTTAGACAATACAGTGTCGAAGTGCAATAAAAAACTATTATTATGGTGTAAGTATTCTTATTTGTGTGAATATTTAATATCGGACTTAACCTAACCTAATCTAATCTTTCTACCTTTTGCATCAACTGTCATCAGCTTATTGGTCAAGAGCACTTATATTGAATTAAAATGGCGGTGGTTACCTAACCCAACCGACGCAATGTCGCATCTCTGTTTTCTAGGCCTCTAGGCAAGAAAAAAAAAGCCGGAATCAGCTACGCATTGAACAGTGAGATTAAAGATTAAAAGATTAAAATTTGGCCAATCAAAATAATAAGAGCAAAAATTTGTTTATTTTCATTAGTCAAATTTTAATTTTTAATCTCAATTTTCAATGCGTAGTCTGATTCCGGCCTTAACAGCTTGTTTTTTACTTTGTTACAGCACTTACGGTAAGCAATAAATACTAAATAAAAATCTAGGACTTAAAAATTCTCAATTAAATCTAATTTTATTTTATAATTACAAAAACTAATAGGTCCGTATTCAGAACGCACTAACAACGATGTTAGCGCGCTAACATGCTATAGTTTACGTCACGTATACTATAGAATTTCAGAGATAAAAGCGCGCTTTTATCGATAAAAGTGCGTTCTGAGTACGGGCCATAGCGTTTTCTCTTAGGTGCACCAGTGCAACACTCAGCTGAACTTTTGCACTAGTTCATCTTTCTTCCTTTTCTCTCTAGGAGAAGGGAAAAGGAAAAAAGGTAAACTGGTGCAATCACCCTACACTGGTGCAGCCAAGAGAAAACGCTATAAGGCATCATGCGGCAGTGCAGGGTGCATCATTGCAAAATAAGATCGGGTGGACCGTCAAAAGCTAAAAATACAAAATGTTTTTGGTTTCCAAAGAATCAAACCTTAAAAAAAGCACGGCTGCAAGCTGTCAATCGAAGAGAAGAGTAATTGAATATGAAATATGGTAAATTTCTTTTAAAAATGTATATATGTTATTAAAATGTATATATTTGATTCCGATTTTAAAATGCGCGCCTGCAAATGATATCACGCTCTGATTGGTTTACTTAATTCACGCTGTTGTCATTATGCGCAATACTTCACCTTGTATATTTCCACCATCTCTCAGGTTTCATCTGTGTATATATTGTGACGCGTGACGTAGCCCTACCCTATTATATTGCTCGTAATGGAGATGGCGGAGTTGTCGGAGGATGTTTCACTGAGGACACAATTTACTGTTGATAATCTAGACATAGAAATATTGCCGCTTATTTACGAGATTATTCGCAGGTACATATTCTTCACACTTTCATATTCAAGCCGTTAATTTCGAGATAATAACCTAAAACTCATCGGAATAAAAATTTTCTTGAGACCGCTTTTATGAAAGAAATTTTTCCTTCTTTTTCTGTCAGGGAATTTTTAGCTGTGATGTCAATGTTTTTGTTATTCTTTTTTCATATATTATTGTCCCGTCTTTGATTAAATTATATATGAACATATATATATATATATATATATCTATATCTCGATCTGTCTACACTTACCGTCTTATTTTCAAATAGTCAAGTCTTTAAAGACAGATTTTGAGCAAAATATCTATCTGATGGCAAAAAGGCATTAAATTTCACATAAGGCTTGTTCTTTTTGCCTGCACTGTCTGCACCAGTTCAGACAGTGCAATAAGTTGAAGTGAAACAAACGTATATCTGTTTCACTTCAACTTATTGCACTGTGGGCACAATGCAGAGAAAAGAACAGGCCTATTGTATAACGTCGATAATGTGGGCAAATTGCCACCAGAAGTATGACAAAACCTGTTGACACAGTGGTCTAGTTTAAATCGTGCACTTGATACGTGTACTGGTACTATATTCATATCAAATTCATACTAAACATTTAGTACGAGCGTATTAAGCAAGAGAATCGTACTAAACTGATACACGTATCAAATGATACAAATGACGATGTAAACGTGAAACATTTTAGAGGGAATCAAGGGCTGTATTCCGTTGCATTCAGAGTACTAACTTACCTAGTATATTAATATCTCTACTGATAAATACTGAGCTTAATGCAAATACAGATTGTAGTGGAATCTGATTAAATTTATTGCTAATTTTTAGCCAATTGCTAATATTTTGCTATTTGAATTGATAATACCTAAGTCAAGTATAAGAATAAATTTTTTGAAATTGTTTTTATGATTTAAAAAAATTCAAATTTTCAGGAATTTTGCTACAATTATGAACATTAATAGAAACGCTATTGGATTATCAATTAAATATGGATATGCAAATATTTATATATTTGATACATTGATATAAAATAAATGCTGCTAGTTATAATTTTTAGCATTGAGAAAGATCCACATGACACTTCGCAAAAGGCAAAAGAGTCTCAAGATACCAGTCATAAAATCCTAGAGTTACAGAAAAAGTTAGACTCTACTAGATCACAGGTAAAAATTGTATCTTTCTTCTATAGATATGTTCATAAATATCCTGGTTTTTTTCATACATATGACACTTTAGCCTTTTTTTTTCAGATTAAAAGATTACCAGGGATAGAATATAGCAAGGAGGAACAATTACAAAAACTCGAGACTTTGCGGAAACAATTGAGACTGAAGCGGGAACTTCTATTGAAATATCGTAATACATGCACATTTGAAATACCAAAAGTATAAATGTTTATGTGCACGTTTGTGAGGATATAAAAAAATAATTTCAAGAATGCCTCTAAGAGTTCTTTTCCGATATTTATTCAACAATGAAAAGTTGATTAATAGATTAGCAGAATCTAAACCAATAAGGCAAACTGCACAATTTGTAGTATACGTACTAATTAGAGCAGGAATGATTAATAGATCACACCGCCCTATCTCTAGTCCAAAAGACTTTATCAAACAACTGAGGGATATTGCTGATCAATTAAAGCAACAATTAGAAGAAAAAAATAAATTTAAGAAATAATTTATGGTAGATCATATATTTTATGCCAAACTTTACATATGGTTTTTGTAATTATATTGCAACGAGAATCGTTAAATAATTTTTATAAAGGATAATAAAACGTAAAATTCAATATGTAATAAAACGAAAGCTTCATTTAATACATTTATGATCACAATATTTTAGCAACATATATAATTGATAATAAATAAGTGCTCAGTTATGTAGGAATGATGTTTAAATTTGTTGGCGATGCAAAGATCTCCTAGTGGCGGCCGGTAGAAACTTTGCTAGTCAGACACCTTATACGTGCTATAATGGAAAATAATAAAGTAAAATCAAAAAGAAATACTACATAATGTTTTGTGGCACAATGCCATAATTATAAACAGAAGAGGATCAGTTTTCATCACTTAAAAAAAAAAAATGATAGGATCTTTGCATCGCCAATAGAGGATATGTATTTTTTCTCTACAGTATGTATGAATGATTTATTAGGAAATAGATATTTAATATAATGAAAAATGTTTTCTTTTTACACTTTAAATACAATGTGATACATCTCTACTTGAAATTGCAAAATATATTATAAGGTTGACTATGATGTAAATAAGATTATATATTCTTTTCATAGAATTATTATAGAAGATGTATTATTATGATATACACAGCATTGGCTATATTTCAAATTTTATCTTCAAATTCTAAGAGTTGGTAAAAGGAATATTTATATACTCTTTTGTACAAGTGTAAATGGTATAGTGTATCCGTAAGTATGTACATTACATACGGAGACATGTATTATGTATTTCCTGACTGATTTTATTGGTAGGTATGTAGTATATTTGCTTAAGATACACATATGTATTCTTTACAAAAATAATACAATATATAATTATAAATAGCGAGATTTTATATTTTGTCATGTTGAAAGAATATCTTTTTAATATGATTAAAAAATAGTCAAGAGACACGAAACTTTCTATTTTAATAAATTTATAGCGAATAGGTTTCTATACAATATCTATATGTATAAAATACGAGTTTTTATATCAGAAGAAAAAAAATTGTTGTGGAATACAGTAATTTCGTACCCCCGTAGATCACATTTTGAAAAATTTACATGTAGCAGAAAATTATAAGACTTTAATTATGTGTTCTTTGTACACTGTTGTTACACTTTTGCAGGAGGGTTCTGTTCTGTTAAAGGCTGAATATTGTTGATAACATTATGAGATCGTGCTCTTCGACCTCTACCTTTCTTATTCTGATTCAATCCAGATTTCTGCGGTACATTTTCTTGTTTAGCTGTTTGTGCTTCAATCATCGAATCAGTTTCGATCAATTCCAATGCCTAAAAAGGCAAAATTATTAGGCTGGGTCCACAACCTTGCTTTAAGAGACCGTAAGCCGTAAAGCTGTAAGAAATTGACCAATCATAGTTGAATGCGAGAAAAATAATTCTCTATGATTGGTCAATTTCTTACGGCTTTATCGCTTAGGGCCTCTTAAAGCGAGGTTATGGACCATTATATTTTTGGTAATCATTAAAGACAATAAAAATATTAAAAGTTTTTATATGGTTAAATAAAAAGAATAATAAATTAAAAACAATGATTATTTTCATTTTACCACATTGATAATAAAATATTTTTCACAATATATAGTTATAAACCTAAAGATTAAAGATTATCAAGAGTTAGTCAATGAAATTTATTTATTATTTAAAAATATAAATAGGGCACAGAGCTAAATTAATTTAACGAATTATTTAATTAATATATTAATACAAAAATAGACGTTTCGACTCCGATCGGGTCATTTTCAATGATACAAAAATTATACTTAGAATTAAATTAACATTTTTTCTATACATTCTTCCTATTGTTGCAATTCGTGGAAACAATACGTTAAGTTTGAATATTCATAATTGTTTGTGTCTTATATTTGTTCCTAATAAAAAGTATATAAGTAAAAAAATTAACATTGTTCAAAATTCAAATATCATACAAATATAAAAGTCTTATTTACCTTGTCAAAAATAAAATTAAAAAATGTGATATGTCCATGTGTAAATTTCTTCTGAGTCAATTTGTTATAAAATATAATTGAAGTATTAAAATAAGATAATTTGCAGCTGTCAAACTGAATATTTATCATTGTGAAGGCAAATAAGATAATGTCGTTGGAATAGAAAGTCAAAGGATGAAAAAGATGAAAAACAACAAAGAAAGACGAATTTAATTAAGAAGAGGATAGGGAATGTATTATATTGGTGTAAATTTCGGGCAATGACTGTGTCATTTTGTCTGTTTATACCGTGTGTCTGTTTTTCAATATGAACCATCTCAGATATTAATCTTTTTTTTGTAAGAAGGTTCTACATCTAAGATTTCAACATTATCCCATTTAAAATTATGATTTAATTTTAATCTATGTTCGGTTATTACAGAAGGGGATTTTGATACTTTATTAATATCTGAAACATGTTCTTGCAATCTAGTTTTTAATTGTCTCTTAGTTTGTCCAACATAACTAGCATCGCAATTGTCACAGGATATTTTATATATTACATTTTGATTGTCTTTATATTCCAAATTATCTTTGCCTCTATTAATGTAATTTTTTAGTGTGTTAGTATATGCAATGAAATGGTAAATGTGTCGATGCCCTCATCGACACATTTACCATTTCATTGCATATAGGGGACCTCCCTTCAATGACTTTGACATATGTTGACAAGGTCATGACCCTGAGTAACCTCCAACAGGTTTTAACCGTCGCTCGTCCTTCGTTAAAAAGTTATTAACAATCATAGTTTTAAAATAGTAAATGTCTCGATCAGGGGACCTCCCTCCAATGACTTTGACCTTGACATATATTGTCATGGTCATGACCCTGAGTAACCCTCAACAGGTTTTAGCTGTCGCTCGTCCTTCGTTAAAAAGTTATTAACAATCATAGTTGTAACGTATGCTATACATGTATGATATGAAGTATTGTTCTACACCTTTCCCTGTTCAAAAACGTTGAACTTTCCACGCGAAGTAACTTTCACCCCCCCTCCCGCACAGGGGCACACGACTTCTACGATTGTACTGTTGCTGTGATTGTACTGTTGGGGCAGACCTCCTGTCGACGGTGTGGGTGCTGGGGGGTGGCCGAAGGCCACTCCCTTGCACCCGGCCCGTGTGTGTGTGTTCCATTCGTTATATAACGATTATGAGTCTATTACTTGATATTTTACACATACACACGGACGGGTGCAAGAGGGTGGCCTTCGGCCACCC